TGATTCTCTTTCACATTATTTCTCCGCTCAGCACCGACTCTCTGAGTCAATAAATCTAAAGAAATGATCGGGTACTTATAACGAGCACCATTCTAGCCCAGTCGGTATTTAATAAAGATGTGCTCTAGAACAGCATATTTCAATGTATTCGTACAGGTCATACATCCTGGTCAATGAGTTCTAATAAATTCTCGTAACATCTCTCTCACTACGGTAAGTACTCCGAGCTAGTTGGTTGGTGTTTCATATAGATCCATACACTCTCATGTAATGTTCACATCCGATTTGCCGTGCTATTCACAATTATGGACAGATTCAGCACTGAACTAGTTTGTGCATATATATAACGCAACCTACACCGCTGCGGCAGCAGCTAATTAAACATTGCCAATGCCGTGTACTGCCCATTTGCCAATGTAGACTATGACACTGGCAAAATCCAATTTTTAGGATGCTTCAGTGAGAAGCACGGCCTACAGGCAGATCCCACAAAAATCATGCCCATAGTAGACTACTATCCGATTTGGATTTTCGATATTTGGTTGGCCTGAACAGAAATTTTGTGTGAACTTTGCTGCTCTAACAAAACACCTCACCAAATTTAAAGGTATTTTTCAAGCAGCAGAATAGAGCCGTTCAATTTATACAAAGGAGCTACTTGCCATTTAGTATGATATTGTGAAATTTGTAGTATATCTGCTTGGCTCTAAGCCATTTGTGATCTATACTAATATAATAGTGTACCGTTTCACACAACGATATCTCTGCCACATCCTTCCCACACAATGACAAGCTAAGTACCCGACATCACCAAACATTCTTTCGAGGTAAAATTAAAGCTAAGTCCACTAGGTGTGTCTGTGAATTCGCAATCATGTCGTTCAAATGGCCAACTATCATATGTCACATTGTTGGTGTCATGCATCGATGAGGCGATACGTACAGCTGACGGATCAGACACGCTATGTGCTGCACTGTTGAAGCATCTAAGAAAATTATGATGTTTACGAACGTTGTATCGCTCATCTTAGCGCTTGGTAAATGCAGATTTCTCACAAGGCTAAGTCTCCCGCTTATTTTACGTCACCGAAGTGATTAACAATGTTTTTGCTATCACGAGGCTTAGGTTAATTAGCTTGGACCCGCTAGATACACAGCGTGTCGTAGTATGACCTGATCAGATTTTTAAGTTAAAGATTCGGTAAGAGGCATATATATCAGCGGCTAACAGGTACAAATGGGTAAATGCTTATTTACGTGTGCACAAGCGAAACTTGCAAGCAAATTAAACCTTCGCGACAAGCTGCGGCGTTTCTGGTTAGCTTTACGGCTTTTAGTGTTCTGACCATCTAACAGCACCATTTCAGCTTGTTCTGCCCAAAGATGGAACCAGTTACTAAAAACATTTCTATCATAGTAGACCGGTCAGTGACACAATTACGGGTGAGAAAATATTAAAGCTGCTCTTTGACAGAGCTCTACTTCTCAAACGGCTTACTTGTGACAGTTGTCTCAGATCGGAAATATTTCGTGAATATGTCAACGGGGCACTTGATGAAGCAGAATATGTATAAAAAGTCCTGTGAATCTTGTTGAAGCGTTCACTGCCATTGTTATCACAAATACAAACAATGATGCATGTCTATCCGGCACCGCGATTACTGTGCACAAAATGCTTCGCAGAATATGCTCCATCATGCAATCGATACGTTCTGTTTGATCATAAACCTGCAGATGATTTGCTTCTATCATAGTCTACATGATGCCAAGCACATTGAACAAACTGTAAGCCATAGAAGTCGGTCTTATCAAGGAAGGTGTTACCAATACTGATCGGCTTGGTGGCACCAGTCCGGCTACACATCATGGCAAAATCGACAACGACTCTATTTGAATATTTGTAGCACCCCGCGCCAAGTGTGGGATCCTATAGCTAAAATTTAGGATCTGCGTAGCACCATAGAGGTATGGATGCCAGAGGCAGACCAAACATACATGAATTCGTTGTGAGTGATAAAAAAAAATGGTGTAGAACCACCTAAAGGTGCAGTTTCTGCGAAGTTCAATAAAAAAGCAGCTTCAGATTGTATAGCGCGTAGCTATCAATGGATTGGTGTACATTTCAACGTTTCTAAGGAAGCACGAACGCATTCCGAATTTTACGTTGATTTTAGCACAAGTCCGTTCTCAAGAGCCACTTGGACGCGACTTGTTTGTTGACGCCAAATCAACGTCTCAGCCCCGCGGCTGATAAATCACTAGCTCTAGAGCAGCAATTTAGTCCCTAGGGGCTCCTAAGGTTATGATGAGTGCATTAACAGGATGATTATTTCCCGAAATAGCGCACGCCATACTCTCGGAGAGGTTCAACGCGTGGCTCAAGCCCAGAAAACACACGATAGACTGCTACGTAAGGATCGGCTCTTGCCAGGGGTCGTTACTCCCTTCACAGTATGGATTAAGTGTGTTGTGCGCAACTTACTAGAGCGAAAGCAAGATGGGGTCTAATGAATGCGTATGCCATTAGCCGGGGAGCACTCTTTTCGTATAGCTTTACGTTTAAGAGAAGTTTTTGGGTCATAAATTAGAAATAACTACGGTTGTTCTCATTTAAGAACCAATCGCTCAAGTGACATTTGGCCCTGAATGCTGACTCATCAATCCAAATGATATAAAGGAAGGTAGCCAGGGAACTCCGGGCTCAATCGAGTAGTGTTCAGTGTAGACGCAATGTTTTAGTATGAAGCTAAACGATTGTGATTCCAGTGGTGTTTCCAGTTTTGTGCAGCAGTGTATATACCCTATCAGAAGTACGTACAAATTACATTTTTGTCCCTCGGATTCTGAACGCGGAAAATATTCTATTAGTTTACAGTACGGTTGTACTTTAGGGAAATGGGGTCCGTGTGATGCATGAACTACTAGCCTTACTTCGTGCGTTTAATGAGTTTGAGATGTATAAATACTAAAGCAATAGTCATGAGTATCATTTTACGCTCAACTCGATTTGCAAAAGAGCTTTCGAATTCTAGCGGGAAAGACTCAGCGTATTTAAGCGCGAACTCTGAAAGCGAAGCCTCCTATGAGCAAATTCGCGCCGACCTCATTTTCACGTTAAACTAAGCCATAGCAGCGTTACGTTCTTAACGTTTTGACACTTTGACGAATCTTCTTCCGCTTATATGAACTCTGCAAGTGAATTATCGTATTAGCAGCAATCTTGGACGTCTAGTCTTGCCATGCGCGCTAGTTTTTAAGCAAATTTCAATGACAGAATTTATCTTATTTGTTGCACATTTTTTGTAAAAATCTGGCGTTAGCTGTTCGGGTATACTAACCACTTTAGTAACGGGTCGTTGCAAAAATCGATGGATAGCA